GTTTGTAAGTGTCTTATAATCTTACTACCTCTTAATCTGATTAATTAGCTTTGTTTGTGCTTTACTTTTCATCCAATGTTTATTGCATTTCTTATGTCAACTATCTGCTTGCAATTTATTCTTGAATGCTTTGCTTTTGTGTATTTATCTTAATAATTTCATAAGGTTTACAAATCACTTGAGCGGTTTTTCTTGGTTCTGGTTATAGCTTATCTTTGCAAATGTTTTACTGATTTCACTCACAATATTATGTTTGTCTCTTATGTTTTTCATATTTCTTGCTTGATGAACGCAACCAGCTTGCCATCAATCAAGAATATATTTCAAGTATTTATTGCATCAGTTTTAACATTAAAATTTCCTTCAGGCTTGGTATTATTATTTAGTTGGACAGGTTGTTGATTTTTGTATTATTTGTTTTTCAGTTCACCAATGGTGGAATGACTGATAACCCTGTCCATGCTCCCTTTCCCTATCCCTAGTCATAATTCATAACTCCGGAACACTGTTAAACTCATCTACTCATTACACTGTACCGCAACCACTCAATAATCAGCTATTCTCTTGTTAAGCATTTGTCACGGTATTTTTATTTCAATTTATAATATAAGACACCAGTCTTTCATTTGCCTTTTGACTTACTAGATAGAAGGGTTGTTGCCAAACCAAAGTCAAAGTAGGTAATACGGTTACTTCACCTGCAACGTGAAACATCTACCCGGCAACACTGCCAAGCAGTAGCAGTGGAAAGCTGAGGATTGTAGACACCCGCCAAGACAGACCCAGCCTCTGTGCGGGATCCATCAGTATAGATTGGGATATGTCCAGGGTAAAACTTGTCCATTCTGTGGGCAATCATGTGGTTGAGAGATGGTTGTCACCATGGTGCAGAGTAAGGCCACTACCGGGGTCAAAACATATCTGGTTTTGTCACGAAACCCAGGGAGGAATTGGTGAGAATGCTGAGGTTCTCACCTGTCGAGGCAGAGTAATTCCAATGGACCGAAACAAAAAGCGTGCATGAGTGGCAAGTGGCTGTAGGT